GAGGAGTGTTTGTGAGACACGTTTAAATAATTATTTATAAATATTGAGGATGCTCTAGCAGGGAGAACAACCGAAGTAAAGAAAATAAGAAAGAAGAGAAAATTTACAAATATAGAATGCAATGTGAATGAGGTTGCAAAAATGAGGCCGAAAGGAGTATCTATATCTAGGTTGAAAGGGTATTGAGAGAAAAATAAGAAAGCCAGAAGTACAAATTTGTTGATTTAGTATTTCTTTCATTCCATGTATAATGCTTACTCTTAACTTTGACCATTGTATTCAGGAAAGGAACAAGAAGCATCAACTAGGGCGTGGAGCTGTTAATGCATTCGAGGAAAGTTTGGCAGATTTTCTGACCCAAGTATGTTGTTAAAATTCAGTATCACTTGATTGCCTGTTGTATAAAATAATTTACTCAAATTGTATTTGGTATTACTCTCTTATTGCAGGAATACTATGCACCGCAACTAACTGAAACATATACTGGACTGTTGATGGATTACATAAGTGAGTGATGGATTGATTGAAATTGTACACGTTAGTATAGTGTAGCATCTTTGAACATTGTGAGAAACAAGTAATTGGTAGTTTATATTATGTTCTTTGTTCAAACATTTCTATGCTAAGATTAGTAAACGTGGATAAATTGATCATCATAAATACATCTGTATAACAGGTGGATAACATGTGATTAACACGTGATTAATCCGTGAATAACACGTGTTATTGCGTTACTTCGTTGTGTGCGTTACCGCGTGACTCCGCTGTGTTACTGCATTATACCGTTGCGTTACCGTGTTACTGCGTTACTCCACTGTTTGCGTTACCACTGTACCAAGGGAATATTCTCAGTGTGTTATTGTGTTACTCCGTTGTGTGCATTACCGCCGATTTAATTGTTGTTACTCCGCAGTTCGCTGGTTACTCCGCGTAATGTGCTGTGTTATGCGGCGAATATTCCCCGTGTTACCGACGATTAAATCGGTGTTACTCCACCGTTCGCCGGGTTATTCTACAGTATGATGTAGTTAATGTAGTTAATATCAAAATTTTATTTTGACGCAAAATTTTTTAACATCTTTCTGTAAAGTAAATTTTATAGGACAAAATATCCATGATAAGAAATTTTTTTATATTTATTTAAAATAACATCTTGAAATGTAAAAAATATTTTTCCACATAAAATTCAGGATAAAATTTTTCTATTAATAGGGGGATTAATAAAAGTATCAGAAAGATACTATCCTTAAAGTATAATTTAATTCATAATCCTTGAGGGATATACAAATATACAAAGTATGAAACTGTAAATGTATCAAATATACAATGTACAAAACTATAAAACTGTTTATAACTGAGGACTATACAAATATACAAAGTATATAAAAGAAAATTTACTATGAAGTCCTCGACAAGAAGCAAATGTCATATATAATTTTAGCTTTAAATTGTTACATATCTTCCTGCCAATTCATATGCTCACTCCAGTGAACTTCTTCGGCCTGCACTAATGTTTCCATGTATTTGCAGACGAACATGCCGCAATCAACACTATTCCTTTGAGAGAGTGCATTCTTAACAATTGATAATGACTATTTCTGGATTTTAGCTGTAAATACATCGGCGACATCTCTAGCAAATATTTTGACCTGCATAGTTGAAGCAGTATGGTGTTACTCTTCGAGTGCTATTGTATTACTCTTAATTGAGTTGAATATACTTACAACGTCCTTAGAGCTAGTCTTATACGTCTGGTTAGGTAATGAGTCGTATATTCTTCATTTTCTCAGCTTGAGATTTCCAACCAACAAAATCCAATGCTGATTATGAATGTGGAAAGAAAATATTTTTACATCTTTAACGGTTTCCTTGGTGATATGTTTGACAAAGGGTTTGCTACCATATTTCTTATGCATCTGCATAAAATTATTAATTTAATTGTGCAAGAAGTATATGACAAACTCGTATGAATAAATTTAAGTTGTTCAACTCACCCCATACCTTGGGGAAACATACAGGTAAGACCGGTATAACTCAAGTCTCCTTAAGGTTCTTTCACACAGTAGGACAATAAATAGATCAATGTGTTCATTTCCAAACCACTTATTTCATAGTACATCTTCGAGGGCCGATTGGTAAAACAAAATCTCGCCTCTGTTAATTATAACATCACTACTGCATTGATAAGAAAGAGAGTTTCTGTTAATTGTTTCTGTTAATTACTGTTAATTAAATACAACACAACTGCGTAACATTAAAAGAGTGGTGGACATTTATTTACTGTTCAGTGTATCTGGCAAGACACTGATCTATTTCTTCCTGCATTTCAATTGGTATCAATGATCTATCAGGATACTCAATAATTAAAGCCTCATGACGGAACTGCAAAAGAAAATAATCTATTTTAACTAAAATAAGAACATATAAGATATGGTTCAAAGTAGATAAATCTATTTTTTTATTACGACATAACATATTCGCCTCCATTAGAATTGTAGCTCTGACTCGAATTCAGTATCTACATTTTCTTCCGAAACTTGGGCCTCTTGGGATTCACCCTTTTTTGCATCAGTATTTACAGCGGATATCACAAGGCGCGTCTACAAAAAAAATAGTGTTAGAAAACATAATAGGAAGGTCTATCATATCGTACAAAATAGAATGTCGTTCTCACCGCATGGGATAAAGACTCGAGAACACCCTTTATCGCTCGTTCGACTTCTTTGGGGTCTTCAAAGATTGTCTCATCCCCCACATCTGCGTCTTGTGCTTTCTTATTGTTTCTTCTACCTCTTGGGTCTGTCCGGAATCATCTGTATGTACAGGATCAACAACATTCATATTTTCCTGTGCAGGGTGTTGCACGTTAACATCGCTTATTCTACGTCTTCTTTTGAATTGGTATTGAGATACAGGGGGGTTCACTGTCCTCTTCCTTCCACTGCTGCTAGACTTCTTCCTTTGGAGATGGGTTTGACTTGAATCCGCACTATTTTCTTAACCACCTTGTTAGCCTTAGTTTCAAATATGAGATCCTTTCTTCCCTGAAGCAGGCTCTTTACTATTTGATATGCCTATCAGCAGAGCTACGTGGTCAACATGTAGTTTAACTTCTTTTCCACCAAATTTGAAGACCCTCCTCTTGTTATCCCAACATCTCAGAATATGTAAAGTCATGACATTGTTCTGGGGATATCGGGGCGTGCCAAAGAAATTGAACACCCTCATTTCCATTAAATTATTAATAGTCTCCTCTGAAATGAAATCTCTAATTGCATCCAAGACACCTCTCACTGCAGATGGACGACATCTACAGTTGAAAGTCCTTGCACTCATAATCCTGCAAATTGAAGAAACAATAACATATTATTAGTACCCATATGGAGCTGCATTTTAAATGTTGTTGATGTGTTATTCATGTGGTATGAAGGTGACTTTGAGGTGTTACTCTTGTTTACACATCAGTAACACCTCAATAAAACCTCCGTAACGTAATAATAGAAATTTAACATAAGTTACTCCTATGTCATTGGTGTTATCACATGAATAACACATCAATAATAAATCAATAACACAGAAATAACACATCAATTTCACATCATTAACACATCAGTACCACATAAATAATACATCTAATACACTTCAATAACAATCACAAGTGTATTAGAGATGTTATAACAGAAGCATAACACATCAAAAGATGTAACACAACAATAACACAGGAATAACATAGGAATAACACATGCATAACATAGGGATAACATAGGAATAACACATGAATACTGTGTCATAGAGATATCTGCGAAGTCCATTGAATTTGGTTTTATGCAGTCATTAAGGTAAGGGTTATTTCTATGCTATTGATGTATTACTGGTGTCTTACTTGTGTGCTATTGATGTGTTACTTCTGTGCTATTGATGTGGTATTGTTGTGCTATTGATGTTTAGGGTTTAGGGTAATTGATGTTATTTAAGTTTGGACACAACACTATCACCTGACTCAATCATTTCGGGGTTATTTGCAAAGGAGAACTAACCTCATTATTTCATTATAAATGAAAATGTAGGTGCATAACATGATTTTAAGGAACAGCTGGACGCCATGGCCACCTTCCCTTGCGTGCCGGAGAATGCCTAGGGTTTCGCCAAAAAAAGAAGTAGCGTTTCGTCGAGGAAGACGAAACAGTCGCTAGACCTCAAACCTCGTAATAGTGCGGAGAAAATGAAAAGACTTTTTTTAATAAAGAGGCGGGTTTGGGTTTGGGTTTAGGGTCGGGTCGTGAATTATATGCAATTTATTTTTCTGTGCTTTAATAGGTGGGCCCGGCTTTTCCACGGGGCGGCATTTGATCGAACTACGTACATAGAGCTACATGCGTAGTCTTGAGGCAATATTTCTTCCACGTAGTGAGATTAAGGCTTTGTTGTAGTTGTTGTTGCTTACGTTTTGGTGCTTTGATCAATTAGCACAATTTAGATGCTTTTATGGATTCAATATCGGGACTTAATGATTTGCTCTATTTTGTTTTTGTCTTTTGTTTTTTCTTTCTTTTCCCTCATTTCCTCATGCTTGTTTTTGTGTTGTATGACCTATTTTTGTGCCTCTTGAGACTTCATGGCTTATTTTTCTACCTGTGTTATTGTTTTAATCTTTCTATTTAATTGTCTGCCTTGTTCATGCTCTGGTTGTGTTTTTCTGTCGCAGCTTCTTGCCTCGTGCCACGCTTCTTGTTTGTGTTTTTTGCTTTGAAATGGTTCACATTATTTTCTTCTTGATTATTTTTAGTCTATTTATTTTCTATTTTTTGGCTTGGTGTTGGCTCAGTATCTCCATGTGTTTGGCTCTGTTGTTGTTATCAGACTTATGGATTAATCCACTTCCTTATCTTCAAATAGTCTATTGGCTATGATATGCTTATCAAAAGATATGTTATACAGAGATACTAATGCCTCTTGTATTTGTTTGTTGATCATTCATTGTGCTGGTTTTGAATGGACAGTGATCTTGTGGTAGTTTCAGCTGGTTCTTCTGATTATACTTTGACAAAACAGGATGTTGGGCGGCATCTCGTATTTGTTTATATTCCTGCTAACTTTGAAGGTGAAGTTATCTTTGGAAGTTGTATGCCCTTCAAGATAATACGATTTGCTTTTTCTTAAACTTCACTGTTCTATTTTATATGTTTGTACTTGCTATTCAGGCCAGGAGGGAGAATCTGTATCCATTGCGTCGCAGATTGTGAGAAAAGGTGGTTTTTGTGTTAATTAAAACTGCTATTCTTTATCTTTCCTACATCAAGTTGCTTCAAAAAAATTGTTTGTTTTTTCTAATTGTAATTGTAGCTCCACCGAAGGTAACCAATTTGAAGATCGTTGGAGATCTGAGGGAAGGGAGTAAATTGACAGTTACAGCAACGGTTATCGGAGGAAATGAGGGATCTTCTAGGGTCCAGTGGTTTAAAACTCTTTCGTCTGAATTTGCGGATGAAAATAGCCTGGAAGCAATTAGTTCCTCGAAAATTGCAAAGGTGAATATTTTTTTTGTTCATTATCAGTATGCTCTCAAATTAAAAGGTGGTTGCTAGTTCCTCGCTTTCTGTTAGTATCCACTCTTTTCATCATGTTGCATAATTTGATTCTTAGACTGTCCGCGTTCCACTCGGTGCTGTGGGGTACTACATTGTTTCAAAGTTTAGTCCTGTGGCTGCTGATGGTGAAACTGGTGAATCAGCTTTTGTTATCTCTGAGAAAGTAATTGAAAGTAAGTCCCAATTGTTCTCTGCTTGAATTTTTAGGGAGATTCTTCGGTGAGTATGAGTTTTTTTTTTAATAAATAAACATGCATAACGAATCCTCAAACAAACCAGAGCTTCTGAGAACACTTACAAATGAAATCATTAGCACCCAAAAAAATCTGTTATGATCATAAAAAATATTTGCATTCAAAATCTATACGAAAGGACACATCACCTCGCTTTTGATCTTTCTGATGCTCATCTCTTCTTGTAAACCAATATTGTAATATTGTTTAAGCTATATGCTCACTAAGGTAGTCAATGTTTAATTAAGATTTGATATACAAGTAATAAATAATATTTATACTGGTCATGGACCGACTAATATTAATAACAACAATAATAATAAATAAACATGCTTATTATTTAGAAGTACAAAAAACATTACTAAAAGCAGTGTAGGAAGCAATGGTCAGAAATAGAAGTTATTAGCACTTCATACATTCCACTATACCATGTCTTATATACCTTTATATTCAATCTTCTTTTTGATATTCAAATTTCTTTTTCTTGAAATGTCATATTATATTTACGTAAGCTTTGATTTATTTTATTTCAATAGTCTTTTACTCAGTCGTTGGCTATATCCGCTCCAATTTTTTTTGTCAAGAGTCATGAATTCAATTATTTTTCTATCAAACCTCATCTCGTCAAAATTCACGTCTTAACCTTGCATGTCATTAATATATCTAACGATCCAGCCTATAACATTCATTCGATCAGCTTATATTTGTTATAATAATTTTTATATGTATTTATTGGCTTAATATAATTACAAGCAACTACTTTATTGACATACACAAGCATATAACGAGACTCCTAAAATCAACAATTTGTACTTGATCTTGCTTTTCTATGAAATATTTAGGTATCCAATTGTTTTATTAAACCAAATTGGGGGCGTTTATCATGCTTAATATGAAAGAAATTTTAAGTGTCAATTATATACAAGTAATAAACTTTTAGAATATTTTACATGTTAATTTATCATTGATTATCTTATCTCCGTTATCAAGTTAACTTTGCGATGAGTTTCTCGGAGCTTCCCTCGAGTCTCCTTACATACAGAGTCTAATAATGTCCAATTCATTTAATTTTATTAAAAAGCTTAAAATAAATTTTATTAGTTACAAACCACCATTTATAATTTTATTCCAAAATAACTTTCACATGCTAACTTTTACTAATAACTTTTTTATGATCTCTCTATAAATCTAAAGCCATATTCGTTCCCAACGAGTTTGCTAAAATACAAATTCACAAAAGTGAAAAGTAATTATATGTTCATCATGTTAACTATTATTAGCACAATCATTTATTTAAATATACCTATAAACTTAATTTCTTTACCTCCAAAACTTATATTTTCTTCCCTCCTCTTCCTCTTAAAATGTGGGGCTTCTAGGCTGGCTGAACCGACCAATTCAGTAAGCAGATTGTCGTTCCAACAGAGAGGTTGGACCGGCCAACTATTTCTTGGGTGGGACTCCCCCCTCCTCGTGTTCCCCCACTTTTTGTTTCCCTATCTACGAATATGTTGCTTGTTGAGTTAAGATTTTAATTTTTGTTAATGTTTTGTTTCTGCCTCAAGATGTTTTCCTTTGATTAGGCTTCATCCGATGACAGTTGGTGCTTTGGCTGTATCCTGCAATGAGGAGGTGATTTCCTCCGCCAATCCCTCTCCATACCTTCTCCCAGTTTTCCAGCAACCTCCCCTCCCACCTTCCCTTTCCCTGTTTCCAGGAACCTCCAACCCCACTACGTCCTCTCTTCAATTGTTAGTCACTCCACCCTTTCTTTCCTTGCTTCCGGCTGCCTCCAACCTTCCGCCGCTTCCTCCCTCTGCCTACAGCAGTTAGCCAACCCACGACACCGCTTCCCTGTTTCTAGACACCAATCCTTTCCTCCTTGCAACCCTGCTGTCCCCAAGCCCATTCGGCTGCACCGCAACTACTTCTCGTCACCGTCCTCAATTTCCCCTACCAACCCTAGTAGGGTATTAGTGTTTGTCGTATTATCTTTTTTCATTTTGAGTCTTGATTGTAACCTTGTAGGTTGAATAATAAATTTTTTTCCCCACAGATTTCTAATGAATACTCACCAACATTTGGTATCAGAGATAGCTTAACTCTAGTCCTCTCTTAGTGTTTACTAGCATTCACCTTACGCCTCCACCATATTTTATTAGGGGGATTTACATACGTACCATCAAAAGTAGTCTATGTTACCCATTTAACACCTTAAACTTTAATTTTACTTAAATACCACCCAAAACTTCTGAAGTGCCCGATTTTACCACTACATTACATTGTTTGTTGTTGTAGTTATCTTTTGGCATATCTCTCGTTCACGAAGTTCTCTTCTCCTACATCGTCTTGCAGGAGATTATGAATGCAACTATTATCCAAAATACACCTCAACCTTTCTAGAAACCACCACGATGGCAACATCCCCCCATCCATCCCCTCAATGCAGAGCCTCATAGTCGTTCATTTCTCCTCCAACCACCTCTCCGACCTCATTCCAGTGACTGGTCAATTCAACTACTTCAACTCTTAGACCTTCCTCGGAAATCCAAAATTCTGTGGGTCTTACCTTAACTAACAGTAGCAAGCCAGGCCATACTAACAGTCATTTCTACTACTCCTTCAAGCTCATTCTTATCATTTTTCTTCTGTGCTCCAATGCATTCTTCCCTGTTGCCATAATCAAAGCACGGTCTTTGAAGATAGCTAGTAAAGCCCGTTCGAGGAAGCTCGACATTATGTGTAAACCAGTGGAATAGAAGGCAGCTCGATGTTGCTATTGGAGGGGGAAACAAATGGGGAAGGTGATATGCAGGGATTGGTGCAGTGGGGAAGAAGTGGGGATGGGTTGTGCTCGTGTACGGAGAGGGAGAACATGCCAAAATGGAGCTCAGGATTGCAAGGCGAGAAAATGGTTGTGGTGTGAAACTTATATGAGGAGCAGGTAACAAAATGGTAGAAGTGGGGGCTTTGTAAATTTTGGGTTCTATTTAAATAAAACTAAAGTTTAAGATGTTACATATGTAATATAGGCTATTTCTGGCGGTATGTATATAAATCCCCCATTTTTTTATTTCCTATCTTCAACCACCCATTCCAAACCCAAACTCTAATCTTGCCACCACAGAGATACATGTTGAATCCTTTATGGGATGAGATACAACGGGAGATCTGTCGACTTCAACAGAGATTCGTGGAGATAGATGATGAAACCCAAGGTGAGATTTACCCTTAATCATGATTTGGAGAGTCGAAGGGGAGACAAGGATGAGGATCTAAATACGTTCCACATGGGACGCGTTAGTGATGAGGAAGATCAGATACATCGCTTTGGAATTCAATATCAGAGGAGGCCGAAAGAGGAGTCCATTAATGTAGGGCACAGAGACTTCGACATTAAGATGAATCTACCAGAGTTTAATGAATGTATGAATCTAGATGACTTTATCGATTGATTGCAATCTAATGAGTGAATTTTCGGATATAAGAAAGCGCCACAAGGTAAACTGGTAAAATTGACGGTCATCAAGTTGAAAAAAATGCTTGTTGTGGGAAAATTTGTAGAAACAAATGAAGAGAGAAGACAATGATAAAATTACTAAGTGGGAAAAGATGAGGAAATACCTTCTATCAAATTACCGTCAAGATATATTTTTGAGACTCCACTTACAGAAAAGAGATCTTTCAATAAAGTTCATGACATATCTCGACCAGTTGTAGATGAAGTATGAGTTTATTGAGCCGGAGGAATACACAATAGCCCGGTACTTGGGGGTCTTAAGCCTGCTAATAGCAATGTTGTGCAGTTACAACCATACTGGTCGCTGGGGGATATCCAATCCATAGCCTTGAAGGTGGAAATACAATAAAAACAGAGTAGACAACAATCTTCATTTTGAAAGCAATCTTCAGTTAGTCATACATCCATAACAACTGACTAGGGTACCTCTGGCAAAGTTGGTAAGACAGAACAGGGGAGTGGCAAGATAGATTCGAGTGGAAATAAACTGAATAGTGGCAACTTTTTTAGTACATAGCCTGCCATGAGGTGTTTCAGATACCATGGCTACGAATACATAGCCTCCAACTGTCCTACGAGATGAATTGTCTCATTCACAGACCAGGGCATCGTCGAGGTGGTGGAAGACGAGGAATTAGAGGATGGTTCAGACGAAGAACTTCAGCTCCAGGGTAACGAGAGAGAGAATTGTTAGTCATATAGAGACTTCTACAATTAGGGCCGGAGAGAGATCACTAATAGCTAGGTACATCATCTTTCGCACCAAGTGTACTGTGTTTGCAGTTTGGTTATCGAAGGTGGGAGTCTTAAAATGTGGTGTCCACGTTGATTGTGATGAAATTAGAATCGGCGACATAGAAACATCCTTAATCCTATTTTCTTAATTGGTTGAAGAGAGAAAACTAGGCACACGTAGATTAGTTGTGCTTTGTTGATTCTTCAATTCAGGATCAGTTACTGGAGCAAGTGTGATGCAATGTGGTTTCGATGGACTCATGTCATATTTTGTTGGGGAGGCCTTTGCAGTTCGACCGCTAGCCTTAGCACGACGACTTCAATAATAATTATTCTTTTGAAAAGGATGGGAAACACATCATGTTGTTACCTGTTAAGAATGCGTGAGGTGTAGAAGACACAAATAAAGAGTTAGTCTCGAGGACCACCTTTATGCAGTGTGCTTGGATGCTTCAAATACACTAGCATTGGTCCTACTGGAGGGAACTGAAGTGGAGCGTGCGATGCCAGCACTGCTATAACCACTACCACATGACTTCCAGGATGTTGTGGCCGACAATCTTCCATAGGGATTACCGCCTCTGAGAGATTCATCCTGCTATTGATCATACTCAGATTAGTGTTGCTTAAATAGCTTATCTACTAATTGAGTTCTGTAGAGTATGAGTTGCAGCGACAGGTATAG